GTGGGGCGCTCCCGGATTCCGGGTGTCCCACGAGTTGGCGACAAGGAAACGAGTGACAATTTGAATAGGGTGCAAAACACGAGCATCTCAAGCATCGCAAACATACGTTCACGGACGTCGCCTCGAGGTTATACCTTTGAAGCATGCGGTATTGCGGCGGTTCAAGTTCGTAGTGGAAGTAGTGGTACTCGCGGATCGTAGTGGAAGTAGAGGTTCACGAGTCGAAGAGGAAGTAGACATTCATGAGGTCGTCGTGGAAAGTAGCGGTTCACGCGACGGTAGTCGAACTTGACGTTTGCGTTACACGGGTCTTCGGCGACGGTCGTCGTACATGGTTCGGAGTGGTACTTGCATCTTCGGACTTGTCGGTCTCGTCATCTCGAAGGGGTGCTAGACGGTCTTCACGATTCCGAAGGCGACGGTAGTGGTACAAACGTTCTCGCGGTACTTGGGTCGTCAAGGAACTTGGCACTTGTGGTATTGATAGCTTGAAGGGGTACTTGGCGGGTCCGAGGTCTCCGGCCGTAGTGGTTCTTGATGATACAGGTAGTCGAACTTGACGAAAAACGGGTCTCCTCGGGGACTTGATGCATCCGAATTCTTCGAGTTTGTAGTGGTACTTGGCGTTCTGGTTCGGTGGTGAAGCATGTACTTGGCAGCAAAATAGAGACAAGCAAGAGAAGGAGGGACGACGCGGTGGAGGCAAGATCGCTGGACGAGGTCGAGGTACGGAGCAGGGCGCCAAGTGGCACGACACGGTGCAGCTCGAGCACGAGAAGAAGTAGAGGAGGCCCGATGAGGAAGGGGCTTGCTGGCTTGGAGGCTCTGGTGGCCGGCGCCATGACGACTGGGGCCAGCGGTCTACGCCGAGAGCAGCAAGGAGAAGGCCGGGATGGGCAGTGCTTGACGTCGGCGGGCGGCGGCCTCACCGGAGTGGGGAAGGCGGCGACACTGGTGGGAGAAGGAGGCGGGGGTGCGGGCTCGCGCATGCTGATGGCCCCGTGGGCGCAACGACGGCGAGGAGGCCGACGTGGCTCCGACCTGGTTCCCTGGATCGAAGGAGGAGGGAGGATGAGGGGAGCCGAAGGGAGATCGAGAGGGGGTTCGAGCAGCTGGGGATGGGGATCGGACTACGAGGGAAAGATGGGGTCGGGCGCGAGAGAGAGAGAGATCGAGGGAAGGAGGAGGTCGAGCAAGGGAGATGGCTTCTGGCGGCGGTGAGGGAACGAGGGAACGAGCAATCGAGGGGAGTGGGGTTCAGTCGGGCCTAGGGTTGCAGGCACTAGTGGGAGGCGGCTGGGCCTAGCAGGCCATGAAGCAGGAGGGGCCGGCCTGGCTAATGGGCTTGTGGGGAACGATGGCCTGGGTGGGCCAGCTTGGTGGGAGGCCCAAATGGGCAGCAGTGCATGCTCTCTCTCTCCCTCATGTTTCCTTTTGCAGAAAAGAAAAGAGAGAAAAAAAGAGAGGTTAGGAAAAGATTTATGCATGGGGTAATTTCTCCCGGTCTCATAAAAATGAGCTTAAACCCAGAAAAATGGAGTGGGCAAGAATGCAAGATCTAAATTCAAAATCATTTGAATTTAATCCAAAAGGTTTGAACAAGGGCTAGTAAATGAAGGTGTCCAAAAATGTTCGGATTTTTGGCAGAGCTCCGAAAATGACGAAAGAATTTATGGACTAAGTTCGAGGCCAAGGGTTGTGATAACAAAGCCATTAGGATTTGCAAGTGTGTTATAGTGAATTTAAAATTAAAGAAATATTGAATATATCTCCCTACTATCGGGAGGATATGTTATAAAGAGAATCACCATGTGAATTCCCTCGATTTAAATGGATCAAAGATCCATGCAATTTTATTTAAGTGAGTTTTAAAACGGGTTGCATGATGACATGATGCAATGCACATGATGCAAAGATGAATGCAAAGAACCAAACAAAACACACAACGAAACCCTGGAAACCCTGAAAGGCAACTGAAGCTCCGGTCTTGGGGCGTCACACCCTTGGAGGAGGGGCCAAGTCTACGCCCCAGCCCTCCCCTTGCCTCCTGTAAATAGTGGGGGGAGGGAGGGAGGTGCTAGACACACAAAATCCCACGGCCCGGCGTCATCCCTACCTCTCCCAAAACTCTGTTTTCTCCTTAGATTGGTTCCAGCAGCGTTTGGTGAAGCCCTGTTGGGCTTGCACTACCACTATCTCCACCATGCCATTGTGCTGGTTGAGATCCCATCTACTTCTCCTCTCTTGCTTGCTGGATCAATAAGGAGGAGACGTCATCGAGCCACGCGTGTGCTGAACGCGGAGGTGTCATCCGTTCGACGCTATATTGGATTGGATTGTGATTGGATCTCGAAGATTATGACTACATCAACCGCGTTATATATGCTTCCACTCTCGGTCTATAAGGGTATGTAGACACACTCCCCTCTCGTTGTTATGCATCTTCTAGATTAGATCTTGGGTGTTTCGTAGGAATTTATTGATTTTCATGCAACGCTCCCCATCAAATACGTGTATTCGTCAATATTTTTGTCATGGAAGGCCACTTCCATGACATCAAATATTTTTTATTGGGACAAAATGTCACATAAGTGTCTTTTCTTGTAGTGTATGTTCGGTATATGTGGACATGACCTGAAACACCTTCCAGACAATAATTAATAGCGGGATATAGCCACCCATGTTAGTTCCCACATAGAGACAAAAATCTTTGTCGAGAAAGCCTATTGTTTCCGTGTACAGTTCCTGATGCTTCATGATACGTTTACAAAGCCCGATGCGGAATAGTATTTTCGTGATCAACACATTGGTCACTATACCTGTTATCCTTGCCATCGATTTTGTTTCTTTTTTCTCCTTTTCATATTCTTGTATCACTGTGATCATTATCACTGTGTCCGGCCATATCTTAATGGATAATACCGAGTGGTCCTAGAGAGTATCTCTCCATTATTGGAGGAGCAAATCCTAGTTTTAAATCATCGTGAACCTTGACATATTTCTTCTCGCATACCCGTAATTTAACTTTCTGATCTCCGCCCGCTCAACGGCCATCACTTCAACTATACCCCATTGATTTGTGAGAGATTTGAGGCTACGTTGCATTCTCTGCCCAATATTTAATATGAAATGTTCCTCGATGCACGTCCAATACTTTCTGCCGTTAATCCTTCCCGATGATCACATCAAGAGAGATATCTTGCCATGCCCAGACAAGCGCAACATCCTCATCGAGCTTAAAGCTGCTTCCTTGAATTGTCTTCTTCTTTGACGAGTTGGTGGCGTCGAGTTGACCAAATTTCGTATTGTGGGCCGACTCATGATCCAAAAGTGGCAATGATGCACCCTCAAGATCGTTTGCCACGGAATCACCAATCATATTATTCATAAATGATTCCTCTTATAGGGTCAATCCCCCCAAATTCAGAAAATCATCGCTAAATCACAAACATTACACATTTGCCAACAATTTTGCATAATCACCTCACACTCAATCGAACGAAAACCTAAAAATACAAGGTAAATGATTGCTCTTTTGACCTCATAGTCGTTGCTGATCCAGTGCGCGACTGGGAATCCACCCTTGTTTCGCCAGCTGCAGGGAGGAAGCAAGGAGGGGCAAAGGCACCATTGTTTCCCTTCCCTTTCTTCTTCCATGGGCCCCTTCGCTGAGACCATTGTGGCCCTGACGGAGGGAGGCTGCTGCCTCCAGGTGGCCACATAGGCACCTCCGGTCCGGACTATTCGTCTACAGGGTCGAGGTCGACCGTGGAAAATGCAGGAGGTGTTGGAGACACGACCGTTGAAGTCTCCGGATCCGACTTCAAAACGATGGGATTAGACACTCATGTCGAGGAGGCGGCCATGGTGTCATTGGCGGGGACCGGGGACGGCGTGAAGCGTTCAACGATGACGCTACGACGAAGAAGAGGAAGCGGCAATGTGGGTTGGAAAAGCAACATGAAGGGGAAATGTCTTTCGTGCCAATCTATTTTTCAGATGGAGTGCACTCCAAATACACCCCCACAATTGTCAGATATAGAGTTTCAAGGATGAAATGGCGACTCTACTATGACCTTTTTAATCAATTTTATCGTATTATTGGTTATATGACAACTATGTTTTTTCTATTTTGAAAAACATATGACGACATTGCTAAAGTTGCTATTATACTGCTTAAGTGAATGCCGAAAGATAGCCACGGTCTTGTGTAGACCGGGACTAGTCCTGGCCATGGGAAGCCCAGCCCGAAAATGCTTGACCCGGCCCGACGCTGCTCCCGGGCTGGGCTCGGGCCTAGATTTTGAGCTCGACGGCCGGGCCCGCGCCTATCATTTTTGCATTTTTTGAAGGGGCCGGCCCAAGGCCCGGCAGGCTTTTACGTGTTTGGGCCGGACTTGGTCCCAAAAAACAGGCCCGATGGCCGGGTCAAACCCGGGCCTTGGTTTTTTGCCTCGGGCCTGGCTAGGCCCGGCCCGAGGTTTGGCCAGGTATATCTGGGACCCATCATGCTGTTTTCATTTCTCCACCCTTCTCCTTCCCGCCCAATTCCACCGCCTCAAACCCCTCCACGCATCCCACCCCGTAACGGCCTACCACTCACGCGCCCGTCACGTGACCTGACCGCCTCTGTTCTCTTCCTCCTCTCTCTCTCTCTCTCTCTCTCTCTCTCCCCCTTCATCCTTCCTCTTCCCTCCCGAAGCACAGAAGCCTCCGGTCCATTTCAAAACCCTAAACCCTCGCCACCGAAGCGAGCGAATCCCCGCAGTTTCGCGGGCCTCTGCGGGCGATTCTTACCCGCTCCGGTCGCCCGGATTCTCCGATTCGCGCCCGCATTGCTCGGTCCGGCCGCGATCCCGCGGGAATCGTCGCGGATTTGGGCGAGGAGTTCGATTGAGCGGCGTCGCGCCCGGATCCCCTGAAGCTTCTAGAACATCCTATGCCGTGTGGCTACGGTGCGGTAGGATCCTCTAGCTCCGGCTTCGCTGGAACCTGCGCGGATGCGGGGCGCGCGTGGCGTCGGAGTGGCCGCGGCGCGTCATCTCCTCGCCGCGGTGGTGCTGTGGGCCGCGTTTTCCTCCGCCGCGTCGTTCACTGATCCCTCCGACGGTACGATTTCTCACCCATCACCCGTGGCGATCGACCTCTTACCCCGCGACGCCTCTACTCTGCGCGCGCGTGTGATTGCGGTCGCTGGTTCTCTGTGCCGTGCGCACACCTGTGGTCTGGTTTGTATAGCAGCGCGGGAGCCTTGCGCGCTGGTGGATTGATGCGCGTGTGTGCGTGCAAACTCTGGCTTGCGCGCGCTTCTGCTCGTGCCTGTACGCGCTCGCACAAACATTCAGATCTGGGGTCATTGGATATGGTTGCGTGATGGGCACATGTGTGTGTTAGTGCTTGGAAATAGCTTGTCTTACCGCATCGATGATGTACTTATGCAGTACAAAAAACGAGTGGGCATGTTTTTGTGCTTGTAAGCACTTCCCTTTGTGCAATGGCTGTGTGTGATGCTATCCTGCTGTCTGTCTGTATGTTGCTGCTTTCTAACAGGTTTACTGCTTTGTTGCCGTTCTTTGGTTACCGTGCAGCGATCGGGATCTGGGCACTATATCGCGCACTGGAGTCACCATGGCAGCTTTCTGGGTGGACATCCATGGGTGGTGACCCCTGCGGTGGGGACGGGGAACGTGGATCGTGGCATGGGGTCTTTTGCAAGGACTCGTGTGTCGTGGCTATGTAATCCCCGTTCAATTCTTAATTTATCAATCAGTTTTGCCTGTAAATTTATAGGACTGTTTGTTTTATTTTTGCTTTTTTTTATGTTACTTCCATGCAGAAATATTAGTGGGCTTGGGGTTGGTGGCTGGCTTGGCCCAGAGCTGCTCAAACTCCACTCTTTAAAAGAGCTGTAAGCTTCCTTATACAAAATTTGTGCTATCTGTTAACCGATCATGATTCTGCAATTTCTGACACAAATTTTTTGGTTCCTGGTGCTTTGATGCCTCATGTTGGTAGGGATGTGAGCTTCAACAACATCGCTGGTGAAATCCCACCCACTTTGCCTCCAAATGTGGAATACCTGTATATTCTTCTTGTCCTTTTTGCCTACCCTCTTTAAGCTGGGTCGAATACATTTAAATATGGAATGTATATGATCTGACTATGGTATGGTGTTCTATTGCAGAAATTTGGCAGCTAACAAGTTTGAGGGAAATATACCACCATCACTACCATATTTGCACTCCCTGAAATATCTGTGAGTTGATTGTTTGGCAATTGGAGCACTTCCTTCTCAAAATTTGGTTGCAGAATCAACTGATTGATCTGTAATTTCGATTGCAGGAATCTCAGCTATAATAAGCTCTCTGGAATAGTTGGTGATGTTTTTGTTAACATGGAAAGCTTAGTTACAATGTATGGTTCCCATATCTTAATTAATGATTACTTCATCACTTCTGAAACATACATCTCTTGTGAAATAAATGAGCTATTCCGTTGCACTTTGACCTGCAACATGCTGGTTGCAGCCTATTGTGCATAGATTTGTAACCTGGAACATCTCCATTCAGTATACCACTAAATGAATCATCAGATATACTCCCTCCGTCCGAAAATACTTGTCATCAAAACGAATAAAAGGGGATGTATCTAGATGTATTTTAGTTCTAGATACATCTCTTTTTGTCCATTTTGATGACAAGTGTTTTCGGACGGAGGGAGTAGTATGCAACTGTCAGGTGAAATGCTTCGTGCGCATCAAGTTGTTATAAACTTCTTGCAGTTCTTTTTGTCCAAATATCTGTTCTAGAACAATCTTTCAGCTCATTTTTTATGCTAATAAAACCACATATTTTTAATCGCAATGGAACAAACACATGCACACACACACATTTTGAAGCTAAAGTACTTTTTTTTGCATCTTTCTTGCTCTGATCCACTATTTCTCAAAATTATTTTAGTCACAGATCTTTTAGTATTTTGACCTTTCTGTCACTTAGACTCATATTTGTTCCCTCAACTCTTTCAGGGACTTGTCATTCAACTCTTTCGATGGTGACCTGCCACGATCATTTAGTTCATTGAACAACCTTCACTATCTGTAATAATGATGTCCCTTCTGTGCTTTTTCATGCACACACAGCTGTAGGAATTGTCTAATCAAAAGTTTCCTTGCATGGTTTTGCAGTTATTTACAGCATAATGAGTTTACCGGATCTGTGATTTTGTTAGCAGACCTTCCATTGGTAGCACTGTAAGAAATTTGATTGGGCTGCACTTATACTTTATTTGCCATCTTATCAATTAATGCTGATGATCATCAACTTCTTGCAGCAACATTGAGAATAATCACTTCAGCGGTTATGTGCCTGGAACTTTTGAGTTCATTTCTGAGTTGAGGTACTGAACTCTGTTATATATTGCCCACCTTGTCACCCTTGAGGATCTTGTGCGTATCTGTATGTCTGACTTCATATCTAGTACAATATGTGATTAACCTTCTGGTTAATATTCCAGGATTGATGGGAACCATTTTCAACCAGGTTTCAAACCTTCATCGTCCTCATTTTCTAGGACCATTCATTCACCTCCACCCCCACATCATCCTCGACCTCCATCTCCACCTCCACCTCCACCTTCACCAGCAGTCAAGCAGAACTCAAAACGCGGGCCAAAACCTCTGCAACCTTTTGTGAGCTATGCTTCTCTGCACAGTCCTAGCCACCATAGGAAGTCACACTCTCGAGTGACAGCTGCTGCAATAGCTAGCGTTGTTTGCACAATGTTTGCACTCTTCATTGTTGGATTGGTTCTGAAAAGCCGGAAAGGTGGTACATGTGGCCCAAAGAGCACCGCTGACAATATCAAGTCTTTACCAGCCAATTTGGAAGGAGGTAACACTGGCACTTTATTAGTTTCTTCAAACCAATTTATGCAGTGGTAGTTGATTGTCAATTGATCATACAAATATTTTTGTTTGTTTTGGTTATTGTTATCATTAATCTACTGTAAAATATGACAGTAATCATTGATCCTAAACCCTTGTACTTTTGAATGCTTATTCATGAAATGGCATATCAAATTCATCCACATACATATCGTTTTCAACTTCGCATACTGCATTGTAATGTTTTATTAAGCCAGACTTGCATTCTTCCATTTAATTAGAATTCATTTGTCAATTGCAGTCCCTAAAGCAAATGAGGTCCTGAACTCTTGGAGTTCTCTTATGAATGGCCATGATACTTCCTCTAGCAATAATGATAGCATTATACCTGGAAGAGTTCCCAAAAGGAAAAGTTGTGCTAAGACATCTAAAAATCTTGCACCTGCAAAACAGTTTCTGGCAGTTGACATTATGGCGGCTACCCGGAACTTCAATGAAGAATGCCTTATCGGTGAAGGTTTCACTGGCCGAGTTTACAGAGGTGATTTTCCTGATGGCCAGGTATCGTCTCTTATCATAAGAAACGTATCATTATCAACTTTCTACTCCCTCTGTCCCAAAATAAGTATTTCAGCCTTAGTACAACTTTGTACTGAAGTTAGTACAAAGTTGAGACACTTATTTTGGGACAGAGGGAGCATATTATTAATGTGTTATTCTAGAATAAGCTCTCAAGTCTAATTTCTGTAGCTTGTATTTTAGATTCCTAATAGTTGACTTCTTTATCTGGTTTTATTGACTAAACTAAATTGAACCGTTTCCTTTCCTCATCGACAAGACATCTCATCATGCAGTATTGAGGACCGTAGCTATGCTTATGCTTGTTGTCTTGATAAGGTCAATGTACAAGGAGCACACCATTCTTAGTCTCACATGTCACTTTTAAAACTGTGATTTTCTTTCAGCGGTTTATTAGATAGTGATTTCCTAAGTAGCGAAGGTATCAAATTTGTACGAGTCATTTGTTATGTATATTTTACGTCATGCATTTGTCATTGTACGCACAGCTGCTGGCTATCAAGAAGATCAACATGATAGATTTATCATTGTCAGAACAAGATGAGCTCATGGACATTCTCGGGAATATGTCCAGATTAAAGCACCCTAATATATCTTCGCTTGTGGGCTACTGTGTGGAGTTTGGGCATTGTGTGCTTTTATATGAGTATGCAGAAAATGGTTCTCTTGAAGATCTTCTGTTTTCAGCAGCCACAAGGTCGAGGGCTTTGTCATGGAAAGCTCGGATGAAGATTGCTCTTGGGGTTACCTATGCTCTAGAGTAAGTACATTCTGTCTCATTGGGTTCCCACCAAATCGTCTAATCAGTTTTATTTTATGCTGCAGAGTAATTAATTACACCTACCTTGTACTCCCTCTGTCCGAAAAAGCTTGTCCCAAGCTTGTCCCTCAAATGGATGTATCTAGCACTAACTTGATGCTAGATACATCCATTTGAGGGACAAGTTTTTTCGAACGGAGGGAGTATTATTTTTCGTAGTTTAGTTGCACACATGCAAAATTATTAGACTTTTATACTGGAACTGGAATTTCTGGATTTTTATATCTATGTTAGCTCTCTGCAGATACATACATTTGATGTGCTCCCCTCCATTTGCCCATGGAAATATTAAAGCTACAAATATTTTACTTGACGCTCAGCTCATGCCCTACCTCAGTCACTGTGGGTTAGCGAAGTTCAGCCATTTTGTCAGCGCCACAAGAATGGTCAGTGCTCAGTAACCAAAGATAGTATTGCTACTTTATGATCTTTTCAAGAAAGCATGTTGATGCCGTTAATTTACCTGATCATTTTGAGGACACTTAAATGATCTGGATGCATTTTAGAACCTAAAACATAGAACTGCTCTATCTCTCTTTCTCTCAGATTAGAATTTTCTCATTCAGTGTCAAGCTAGATTACCGAACACTCGTACATGTAACATGTGGTAATCCTGAAGTTTTGGGGTAATATTTGCATAGGAGAGATTCCCCTCTAACCAATTGAAACCCGTTAATCTACCCATGTCCTTCCCATCCAAATATACACAATAGGCCGCAGCATCTGATTTATCCAGTTTGAATGATATACTGCACAGTCTGCACTATATAAAATAAAATTGATTTGTTGGCCATTTAACATGTCCTCATTCCGGAAGCAGGATTCAGAAGCCCTCAGTGGTGCTAAAGGCTATGCTGCTCCTGAGGCTAATGGTTCAGGAACAGATATAATCAAAGCTGATATTTACAGTTTTGGCGTGATATTGCTTGTGCTTTTGACTGGGCAAAAGGCTTTTGATAGGTATGTTATCACTTGCACTTGTGCTACTAGCAGTCTGGTTTGCTGAAAGTTTATTGTCTTCTTCAGTTCAAGAGGGCCGAATGATCAGTTTCTAGTTGATTGGGCATCTCCTCATCTCCATGACCTTAATTCTCTGGGAAGAATAACGGATCCAAGAATACGTGGCTCTATGCCACCTAAAGCTATTTCTGCATTAGGCAACATCATCTTGCTTTGCATCAAGGTAGTTTTCCATTCTCTTTTCTGGTACACTCTGTTCTGTAGTTTCTTATCCTTGCTGGCAGCTATCAAGGTGAAAACTCAAATACTGCCCATGCTGCTATGGCAAATGCTTAGAACATGTTAATAGAAACGAAAGGCATTATAGCTGAAATGTCTAGAGCCACTACAATGTCTAATGCTCACTGCATTCACCAACTGTATTTCAGGACAATTTTCTACGAGCAGTACTCCCTCCTTTAGTTAAAGGAAGAGCTTTATTGTCTCCTGGACTCTTCATAAAAAATTGATGCACAGAGCCTTAAATATTTACAAAGTCACTAAGCATGTGCCAAATGGCACCCCAAAAGAAAAAAAGAAATAGAAACAAAAGATATTACATAGTAGACTGGACAACTGACAGCTCGAGTATTACATAATCTATTAATTGACCGCACCCGCACATCCATGTTTCGATCAGTACTTATGTTATTTCTTCCTTCAATGCAGCAGTCACCGGATTCCCGCCCGCCGATGAAAGTCATAACAGACAAATTAGTAAAGCTTGTCCAGAGCAACACGGTAAATAAGTTGGAGGCTGATGCTCAGGACCCCTCTTTCATAACAACCCGACCATATTTTGAGCCATCCTCCACCGGTAACTCACTTGATAGTGCAGCTTCTTTTTTATACTCTTCACATCGTAGTCTTAATTTGATTGCTGTGATCAGTCAGCCAGGGTGCAACTGAGAGCTGCATCTCCCAGTGACGAAGACATGCTCTTCTCAAATTTTGCCAGATGTTGTTATACTTTGTGTTGTCGAGGTAGCTCCGAGTATATGAAGCGTCACATCTCTTTACAATTTTCTGTCGATGCCAATTGACGACAGCCAAAACTGCTGCACTGAGACGTGCTGACTGCAGAAGACACTATGTGATGCTCGACTACGGGGGGAAGTAAGCAAAGTAAACTCTGCTCCCCTGCTTCACTCTGGTTGAAAAGTCATGCAAGCATGGCAATCAGTATTATTAGCGTTTTGTCTCATGTATTGCTTGGTTGGACTCAGTTTGGCTCACATGGGATGCTGCTAGGAGTGCTCTTGTAAGTAGTGATTCCAAGGGGCAGATCCACGTATACCCATTCTCCACTTATGTAGTTCTGTCCATATAACCCTTAAGTCTTGTAAATGTGTGGACAAGAATCTCGTTAGCCAGTCGACACTGGCCCCAAACACAGGATCTGATGTGGGCTGGTCCTGATCTTACAATGCTGCTGGGTTCACATGTCTTGATGTGATTGTTTTGTTTTGTATGGCATGCTCCAAATGATACGGTACAGTATGATCTGTCCAGGAATGCAATTAGATGCCCACTCTTTCTTACCTTAATTAGGATTTTTTTGGTTGCGAATTACCTAATTAGGATTCGACGAGGTCACAATTCAAATAACCTTATTAGTACTACTAGTAGATGCCTCTCCCGCCCCCCGTCATGCACGGGACGGGAGCAATCGCTGCTGGGTGCGTACATGGTGTACATCTTATTCCTAAATAATCCTACATGCAATGATCTCTTATCCTGGGGACCCTATCAGATGGAGATGCTGTTGGGGATGCCCCTCCCAGTGACCCCTGGTTCTGAGAACGGCTTGAGCAGCTCGTACGGCACGATGCCGGCGCCGCACCTGTTCTTGTTCTCCGGGTTGTTGTTTCGCTGGTCGATGGTGCCCTCCGCCTCCTTGAGCCTGCCGCTGAACTTCTCGAACGCCGCCTTCACCATGGGCTCTGCCAGCCACGCCGGCTCGGCGTACTCTCCCATGTATTCCTCGTCGGGGGAGTGTGAGGAGAGGATGTCCAGCGTCGCCATCACCTTGATGGCTTGCATCTGCGAGGGGAGGCTCTGCAGCAGCACCTCCTCTGGCCTTGCCATGAACTTCTTCATCTCGTCGTCCCGGCTCTCCTCCACCGGGATGTTCCTCCGCACCACCGTCGGACGGTTGGGGAAGTACCCGGCGTAATGGTACTGCCCGAAGTTGACGGCGGCGTGGTGGCCGGACGTGACCCACATGATGATGGTGAGGATCTGGACGAGGTTCTCCTTGGAGTCGCACACGGGCCACCACGGCTCGTCCTTCTTGTCCGCGTGCCCCTTGGTGCGCACCTCCTCCCACCACGCCCGCAGCTCCTCGTCGCCGGCCACGTCCTCGTCCGACTTGTAGTAGAAGTCCACGTAGTCGGACGCCCACTCCTTGATGGAGCCCCAGATGAGCAGCCCGTCGTCGGCGTACGGGTAGTCCTTGATGGCGAGCTCGAGCTCGCCGTCGTCCCTGCGCTCGGCGAGCCCCCGGCTGACGAGGTCCTCCGGCAGCGCCTCCGTGTCGAACTGCCAGGCCGCGCCGTAGGCGACGGAGCTGAGCTCGATGGAGTACCTCCCCGGCCAGAAGGCCTCCTCGATGATGCCGTCGGCGTTGATGAGCGCCTCCCGGGCCAGCGCGTTGATCTCCATGGTGTAGCGGAAGTGCGGGTGCAGCAGGCGGTGCACCGGGTGCATCCGGCTGAGCTGCCGGTTGGTGGCGATGATGTAGGGCTCGACGCAGGCGTGCGTGCGCAGCCAGTGGCTGACCAGCTGGTGGTAGCCGGTGTCGTGGGTCAGCACGTGCGCCTTGGCCAGCTTCCACAGCCACGACTCGGTGGCGTCGGGGCCGTGCGTGAAGGCGCGCTTCCACTGCGGCCTGGTCGGCGACTGAGGCCGCGTCAGCTCGATGGCCAGCGGCATCAGCGTGCCCTCCTCGCTCAGGAAGAAGACGGTGCGGGAGCCGTACAGCGTCGTGTCCGGCAGCTCGCGCACCCTGTGCACGTACGGCAGGAACACGTCGTGGTAGTCCAGCAGGAACAGCCGCTTCTTCTCCACCGCCTCCTCCACCGTCATGCGCCCGTTCATCATCTTCTCCAGGACCTCCTTGGTCAGCGCCGACTCCGCCGGCCCGTACACCGCCGGGTCCAGCTTGCTCACGATGGGGAATTCCTGCACCATGGATGCATGCATGCATGCACTCTCGTTAATTAACTAAGTGAACTTATTAAAAGCAACTTGATCAAAGGCTGTGAAAAATAAAAAATGGTTGATTAATTACCGTGAGGCGGCGGATGCAGATAGGGTTGAGCCCGGCGAGCGTCTGCCTCGCGAACTCCTCGTCTCTGAACCACGAAAATCGGTCCCCTGCAGAAGCGCAAAGTCACGTCACGTATGTGGTCTCAGTAATTAGTTGCTCGATCGTGCTCTGGCGGATCAGGCATGGACGGCGGCGCTCACTCTCAAGCATCTCGGGGACCTCGAAGCGGAGGACGTGCTCGGTGGTGTCCTCGATCATCTGGACGACACGGGGAATGACGTCGTTGATGACGTTGAAGGAGGCGCCGCCGTGCCCGTCGACGGGGAGCGGAATGCCGTCGCTGTAGAGGGCGTCGATGGCCGGGAAGTGCGAGAAACACTGCGAGTTGTTGAGCAGCGGCGCCAGCGCCGGCAGGATGGCGTGCAGCCCCGACCGCAGCGTCGTCGCGCTGAACGTCCGCCCCTTGACGTCCGAGAACTGCTCGTCGCGCGGCACGTACACCGGCGAGCTCCTCTTCTCCGTCTCCGGGTCTATAGCACAACCACCGGCAATCGTTAGAATTTTGAACAAGATTATTTTGCTAACCGCCAGGTAGCAAGGTCGGTGTGCGTACGTACCGTAGAGGGTCTTGGGCCGGCCGGTGCGGCACCGGCGAGGGTAGGGGTGCTCCTTGGTGCCCAGCACGGGGCGTTGGTGGTCGATGTTCTTGTCCGGGTCGCCGAGGTCGTTGTACGTGTCGTAGTCGTAGACGCGCTCGTGGAACTTGCGCTCGCTGTGCCCGTCGCCGCGCAGCTTCTCCAGCTCCTTCTTCCTCAGCGCCTCGATTCCCGGCGGCGTCTGCGACGGCAGGTATGACTGCAACAACATACGCACGCACGCCATGGTTAGTTAGTCCCACAGTTCCATGCGAGCACGGAGAGAGCGTGGGCTCATGGCTAGCTGCTGTTGGCTAATTGCCTACCTTGACGGTGAAGAAGGCGCGCGGCTCGGGGTCGTCGAACTTGGAGTGCACCCAGGAGGCGACGTCGAAGGTGATGGCGGTGCTCTCGTCGCCGCCGGCGATGAGCTTGATGTCCTTGATGAACATCTCCCTGTGGTGCTCGTTCTCCACCAGCACCGCGCCCACCGGCCCGAACGACGCCGGCACCGACATCTTGGCCTCGTACGTCCCCTCCTTGAGCGTCATGTGCGCGAACCCCTTCACTCCCTCCCTCTCCCTTCCCGTCTCTACGCAGCAGAACAACTTTTCTCAGCCATGTGAAAAATTCAAATCAAACGCTGTAGCATGCATGCTCTCTCCTGTCCTGCATGGTGCATGCCATCGTTGTAGCGAGAAAAGATAGAGAGGCTCACTGGGGTCAAGCTCGGAGCTGACGAGCTCGAGCAGCAGCGTCTTGCCGAAGAGGTCCTGGATGTCGTCGAGGCCCCGGGCGACGTACACGGAGGTCGGCGCCTGCGCGGTCACGACGGCCGTCACCGTCAGCGACCTCTCCTTGGTCGTCACGGACGTCGAGACGCCGACGGCCTCCTCGGTCGACGCGCAGCTTATCCTGCGCGCCGTGAGCCGGCGCGCGGAGCCGCTCCTCCCGGCGCCGGACGCCGGCCTCTGCTGGCCGCTCGCGGCCGCCGCCGTGGCGAAGAGCGGCGGCGAGGCAACATTGCTGCTCTGCGCGGAGAGCACCAGCGGCTGCTTCAGATGGATCATGGCTGGCGCGGGCAGGGCTAGCTAGCTGCTGCCGATGGATCGAGCTGGTTCGACCTCTACCTTCTGTTCTTTTGCTGATTAGCCAGTCAGCTAGCTAGGAGGGCAGGCCCCTCTCTCGGCTCTCGCAAGTGCCCTGCGTCCGTGGTAGTATGTGTGCCAGTTTATATTGTTGGATGCGGTGCTCCACGGCGATGTGTTTCTCGTCCGTATGTGTGTCAGTCGTGATGGGCCGTGCAACATGATGATTGGCCGCATACCCGGCTATCTAACCAAATTATTTTTCTTGGAAATAAAAAGTCCATTTGAACTTTGAAGAGGGTGTGTACATAACGCCCTATGGTATATGGCGTGCACCGGACCTTGGTGCACTTGTCTAGAAGTTTACAAAAAAGTGCTGGAAAGAATTGAACCACTGTAAAAGTTCAGAACTTCAAATATAGCTTGTGAAAAAAGAAGAGACGAATCGCGTGTTGAATAGTAAGCTAATCTAGATTTGGTTGTAAATTCCATCGATATCATTTTTGTTTCACAATTGTGCTTTCAGTTAGATTTTGAATACTTTCCATTGTCGTTACTCATTGTTTGCATGCCCTTTGTTTCTTTTTAGAATTTATTGAATTCCTGAATATGATGATTGAGACTGGTGCATCAGATATTTTCTCCTACGAAAAGTTTGAGCGCACGCCACATTTGATCTTTGTGTAGGCAGCTCCAGCAGCCTAAAGAATATATACTCCCTCCATCTTAAAATAAGCGTCGCTGGAAAGTTTTTCTTACGTGGTAGAAAGTTGGCTAGTCGACCGACAAGGGCTCGAGAAAACCACATAAAATTTGTTGAACGGGCAGGAGGGCATCATTGGAAGCTTGAAGCACGTTCCACCACACCCGGCAGCGACACGATGTATACATCAGTAGGATGTAGGGTAGTGGGGTCACGCGCGAGGTATACATCACTAGGGTAGGAGACCAAGAGGGAGAAGGTGACCCAGGGCTTGTCACTTCCCGGTGCATGTGACTGCACATTTG